CTCATACTGAACACCATCATCTAGAACTTTATCAGCAGATGTGTGAAAGGAAACAATCACAAAGATTTGCAAGAAATACTTGAAATTTCTTATAAAAATTACATTCAGATTCCCCCCTCTCCAAAAGACCAGGTACCAGTACTGTGATTTTGTTCCTACAAGTTAAATCCTTTTTTTTTTTTTTTTTTTATCCTCACCCGAGGACATCATCTTTTGTTCAGGTAGAGTGGGAGGGAGAGAGAGGAACAGAGAGAGAGAGAGAGAGAGAAACATCGATGTGAAAGGAACACATTGAGTGGCTGCCACCCACACGACCGACCAGGGCTGGGGACCAACTGCAACCGAGGTACGTGCCCTTAGTGGGAACCGAACCCGGGTCTCTCTGGACCGCAGGCTGATGCTCTAACCGCTGAACCAAACCAGCCAGTGCTCCTTTTTTTTTTTTTTAAGGTCTGCTGTGATGCAAACTGTTTCTCTCTCACCATTTTTCTGGAGTCTAAGAACCTGACCCTTACTGTCACCCTCAAACATACAAATCACAGAGGATTGGGAGAGGAAGACAGTCACAATAGCAGCTGCCTTTAGGTATTGGAAGCCAGCATTACTATAATAATCTCAAACAAAGTAATATTCTCCAGCATTCTCTTTCCTTTAACTGGGTTTAACTCCTATACATCCCCTTAAGCCCAATTCAAGCTCCACCTTCCCCATGGAGCCTTCCCAGATCACCCTAGCTCTTGGTAGGTTCTCTTTGCCCTGCACCTTGGAGCTCCTCTTGTCTGCACATGGAATTCATGCCAAGGGTTTAGTACAGTGCCTAACACAGAATAAGTGCTCAGTGAAAGGGAACATGAGTTATCATAGTATAATTCATCTGGTATGTCTCTGTCCTGCCTCCTCAACTGGAATGTCAGTTCTGCAATAACAAGTTTCATATTTCTTTATTGCCCTGTGGTCTCCAAGTGCCACATACATACAGGGTATCCAGTAAATGTTTTTGTTGATCATCTCCCTGCCTTTCTTAAACATTTACTGATACCCCCCCAAATGCAGAAATTTATATTTTCTTCCTGCTTAATATTGTCATGTAAGTCAGCTTCTTTACTTTCCACCTCCTATTAAGATGAGGAAAAAGAAACGGTTTCTCTTTGAGATGCTATAGTGTCCCATTCCAACAACAGCTTACACAGGAAAGCACCACAAGAACATAAAGTAGACAAAAGTCCCAACTAGACTGATAGAAGAGTTGAGACAAAACAATATTTTGGCTCCATCAGTACCAAAGGACCACATGTTATTCCTAGAAGAATGAAAACTTAGCAAAGGCTTCATATACTTAAATCCACTGGACACTGAATTTATCTACATTTTGAGAAAGCCTCCAGGGAACTGGATTTGGTATTACTCTCATGAAAATAAAAAATGCCATAGTGCAGTGGTTCTCAACCTTCCTAATGCTGTAACCCTTTAATACAGTTCCTCATGTTGCATGTGGGCGTATCTGCATGTGGGCAGACCTGCTTGGTGACGGATAGAAGAGCAGTGTCTCGGTTCCTATCGGAAATATGTGTTTTCTGATGGTCTTAGGCGACCCCTGTGAAAGGGTTGTTTGACCCCTAAAGGGGTTGCGACCCACAGGTTGAGAACCACTGACATACTGTTTAATGAAATAAGGGGTCCTTGGTAGCCGAAAGATCCACATGAACATGAAAAATGTACCTGAGTTTTGTCCAATGGAGCACCAGGCATGAGACTATCTCAGTTCTCTTTAGGAAGACCCCTCAAGCCTGCCATTAGGGCTTGGCCCTCTGCTGGGAAATGTTGGGAAATAAAAAGGAGGCTCAAGACTCAGTGTTTTACGTTGCCCAAGGACTAGACACAATCCCTTTTAAATAGTCTCATCATTCATAAAGGTGGGAAAGTGCAGCCCATTTCTAAAAAGTTCTTCTTTTGCCAATTTGTCCTATATGTGGGATCCAAAAAACAATCCAAATGTTTTCACTTTTTCTGTCATGTCATTTTCCTGTTCAGAACCAACTCAGAAGAGCAGAGGGCCATCCCTATTTTTTTTCTGTCTTCCTCTGCCTTCCCCACGGCGGCCTGGTTGTCCCCCTCTCACCTCTAGCTCAAGCAATTGGTCATTGGAATCCATCTTCTTTTCCACCTCTGAGGAGTAGAAAGAGGTATGCAAAAAACCAGCCCTTCTTAGACCAGCAACAGAATGATACTCCAAGACCAACACATCTTTCTTTTGCTAATTATGACCTACTGTAATTTACAGAATCAGTAGTAGAGTCACCACTGTTTCTTCTGTGTTCCACTAAGGGCTCCCTTCTATTAGTCCTGTCTGGCATGGATCAGACCCCTAAAGGGGGTGGGTGAGCCTCTTATCCAGGAAGGTATCCATTGTAGAAATTAAAGACATAGGAAGGTGTTGTGTATACTGAAACAACAACATTCTATAATGTTTTATAGTTTATCGAGCATATGCATTTTTTTTATGGTACCTGTGCTGTGAGAGTGAATTCCACTAGGACTGGAATTAGCCTCAGTTGCTTTGCTAAAGTTTCTGGTCAGGGTAAAAAGCAAGCTGGTTAATAGCATTGCTTTGTGACCATGAATTCTTGGAGTTTGGGAATGGTTTATATTGGCCTGTAAGCATTGTTCACTAATAACAGTGAGATTAATGATTTAAACCTGATCTGGGTGTAATCAAACACCCTGCTATAGAGACTGGTTATGTAACAAGATGGCACCTACATGACCAGAAAAGTATCATAGTTTTCAGCAGAGATTCTAATGTGGACTCCCCAGTTTCTAGGTGTTAGTGAATACGTTGGTGGCTCCTGATCTGAGCAAGTGCATTTTGTCATGGCCCTTAGAGAAAAGAGGACAATAGGAGCTGGCACCTGGCCTCTCCAGTCTTCATGCTATGAGGAAGCCTTCAGCTGTGATGCATATCCTTACTTTCATGTTGTTGCTATACTGCCTTCTTTTTCTGTAATAAACTACAGATCTGTAAGCATTTTCATTTGGGTCCTCTGAGTCTTCTTTAGAAATTGGACCTGGTTTAATGGCCACTATTAGTGTAGTACCATAGTCCTGAGATATTGAGTTCAGAGAGGGCCCCAGAGAAATTAAAGGACAAGCCCAAGGTCCCACAGTCAAGTAGAAGCAGGGCTCAAACTTGAAACTTGAAACAAGTTGCTCTTTTGACACTCTCCTTTGATTTCTTTCACTACCGTTTTGATTAGTAACTAGAGAGAATGAAGAGGTATGTATTGAAAGTAGAGTTGTAAGTAAGAGCAGCTACATCCTGGAGGGAGAAATGGCATCAGCCCACATCCCTGAACCATATCATCACCTGTAGTTTCCAAGGCCCAGAATGGGCAGCTTCTTCCCCCATAACTGAGGCTGCAGAGGCCTAGGGATTCCAACACATGCTCCAGGAGGAAGCCTTGTTGGTCTCTTTCTAGCAAGGCAGTGATTTTGCTCATTTTGAAACCAGCGAGACATCATCCATTCAGATCTTAACCACAAGTGAGATGTTTCAATGGGCTCAGTTACTGATAATAAATCTTTGGTGTGCCTTTTCTTTTCTTTTTTAAAGTATACGCTTCAAGCAATTTTAATTTGATTCTTAATTAAGATGCATGTGTAAGTCAAATCCCATTAAAGCCTCTTTCTTTTTCTCCAACACTTAGACCATCAAAGAAAGTTTGAATGACCAGCCTCAGGAGGCAAGTGCACAGTGTCTTAGGGAGGTGGGCCCCTGGCACGTAACCTCCCCTCTTTGGACACATCTCAAACTTATTTGCATAATGAGTGGGATAAACATTTTGTGATTTTTAAAAATCTTATTACTCTATTTTTAAGATGTGACCTCTAGCCACTAATTATTATCATTACTATTGCTGCTGCTATTACTTTTTATTTAATGGTAAGAAAGCTGGAGGAAGTGGGTGTTGAACTAAAAGTTGAGAGGTCCCAGTTTAGCTACCTTTTTTAATCAGTTTCCCCAGAGTGTCTTACCACAAAGTTTTTAAAATTCAGTTACACGACCCTGGCACATATGACCTTGCTCTGGGAAGAGAGGCCACCAAGTGAAAGCAGACCATCTCCAGCAACTATGCAACAGAAAGGGCACATCCAAGGACACAGTCTGGCTTCATCCGTCCATTGAACAGGCAGTTCCCAGCACAAACTGCTTGAGGGGCTCTGGATAGATCCACTCCTCCCTCCAAAATATCTCCCTCTCTGCCATGTGAAATATGACCATTCAAGGAGGAATATGAAAAGCTCTATTAACATAAGGAGGAAGCATGGAGCTACGAAGAGTCCTGTCCTTAGAGTTAGATAGATGCCTTGGATTGAAAGGCTGGTTTTCTTATGGAATTAGTCTCTCAAACTCTGAGCTTATTGAAGTTATAATTAGTGCAATAAGATCAATAAATATGTTCCCAGCAAAGCATACTAGGAACTGTAGTTTGGGAATATTTGGGGAGTACAACTTCTTTAGCTTCCCTAGTTCTCCGAAGGAGACACACTAAGATTGGTGACTATAGTGATCTGCCTGTTAAGAGCGAGTCAACTGGAAAGCCCTGAGTGGGGCTTAGAAAGTCTCTCATACCCAAGCTCACATCAAGCTAATATTCCAAAACAATTCTTTATGTTGTTCCAAAAACAGGCTCTTACAGATAACATCACCCAAATCTAATATCTGGGTTGAAGGGCCAATTTCATACCAGACCCCAGCACCATCTTGTTATGTTGTTGCCAGGTGATAGCAAAACAATAAATGCATCACATGTGCACAGTCACGTGACAAGCACGGAGTGACCACCGCTGTGGTATGTACAGCCTGTTTATTTCCAAGACCCAGATGCTGCAAGGCTCCACCATTGTGCTTATAGTGTATATAAACTCACATGTGTGAAATGGCAGCAACACAGATATTGTGTTTAGAGTGGATGCAATCAGGCAATAAAGTAGCTAGCATAATGTCTGGTGAGTAGGTTCTTAGTAAATGCAAGTGATTACTTGTTTTAGGAAATCTGTAACTCACTTTTTTTATTCTTGAAAAAAACCTAGTGAGTTAAATTTGAGCAGAGGCATCCTTTCTTCTTGGCTGGAGGGGCACAAGTCCCTGGGGTGAGTGAGAGGGGGCAAGAGTAGGTGGGAAATTGTTTGAGACAAATTGGCAACATTTCATTTTGCTTATGACTGTCCTTGTCCAGCTGAACGGTGGGGAAACACGTTCATGAACAGCTCAAGGGGGCTCTGCTGATTTTTGTTTGTGGCAAAAGAAGGTATGAGGAAATTTTTTTAAATTAATTTTTGTTATTAATTTATTTTTGTTACAGATGTTTTTCCTTTTTTTCCCCATTGACACCCTCCTCTCCATCCCCCCACCCCATACCTGGCTCTGTTGTCCCTGTCCATCGGTTATGCATATATGCATATAAGGTCTGTGGTTTATCTCTTCCCTCCCCCACCACCCCCTCTTCTGAGGGTGGTCAGTCTGTACCCCACATCCACGTCTCTGGGTCTACTCTGTTCCTCAGACTGTTATGTTCATTATATTCCACAAATAAGTGAGATCATACGATATGTGTCTTTCTCTGCTTGGCTTGTTTCGCTTGGGACAATACTTTCTAGGTCCCTCCATGTTGTCTCAAAGGATAAGAGATCTTTCTTTCTTACAGCTGCATAGTACTCCATTGTGTATATGTACCATGGCTTTCTTATCCATTTATCTACTGATGGACACTTGGGCTGTTTCCAGATCTTAGCTATTGTAAATAGTGCTGCTGTGAACATGGGGTATATATATTCTTTCTGATTGGTGTTTCAGGCTTCTTAGGGTATATTTTTAGGAGTGGGATCACTGAATCAAATGGCAGTTCAATTTTTAATTTTTTGAGGTAACACCATAGGTGTTTTCCATTGTGGCTGCAACAGTCTGCATTCCCACAGCATGAGGAAATTATGCTTAAAAAAACCAACACACCAAAGCAATTGATTACTTTGCTCATTTTAAAAAATGATTTTTGGAAACTTTTTGCCTCTAAATACCCCAGTATACTATTTGCTTCTGTTTTTTATCACAAGAATGGTATAATACTGAAGACAATTTTAATAGATTTAAAAAATCTATTTGTATTCATTAAATTTTAGCAGTTTTGATTTATCTGAATGCTTGCACAGTCCTTGTCCATAAACCTGGATAATTCTGTGAGCAAAAAAATCACTTTGCATAATGCATTTTAGTCTCTAATCTAAATAAGATGATTTTAGACTTATGAAAGCTTGTATCAATGAATGTATTTGTATTTCAATTTTTCCTACATTTTCATTATTCCTTTGCTTCCCCTCTCCCAATTTGAAATAAAAACTTTCTCTTTAAAAAGCCGACATTTTCCCATGTTCGATTGTTTCTAGAAATGTTATGCCCTCCAGCAGAACAGATCCTTCTGCTGTCACCCTGTACCTCCTCCCATTCCAGGTGGCTTGTCTCTAGTGTCTATTCATAGCCAAGATTGGGAATCAGACTGAGAAGTAGCACCTCTGTAAATTTTGGCTTTGTTACTTTCTACAGTAGTTCCCCCTTTACATGTGGTTTCACTTTCCACAGTGTCTTTATTCGTGGTCAACTGTGGCCTGAAAAAATTCCAGAAATAAACAATTCGTAAGTTTTAAATTGCTCACTGTGCTGAGTAGCATGATGAAATCTCGAGTTATCTGACATCATCCTGCTCAGCCCCGCCTAGGGCTTGAATCATCTCTTTGTCCAGTGTCTCCAAGCTGTAGACCCTCCCCGACCCCATTGGTCACTTACTAGCCATCTCTTGGGGTATTGCAGTGCTTGTGTTCAAGTAACCCTTATGTTTTGTTTCTAATGGCTTCAAAGCACAAGAATCGTTATGCTGGCAATTCAAATATGCCAAAGAGAAGCCATAAAACGTGAATACAGTATAAGATAGTTTAGAAGAGAAACCACATTTGCATAACTTTTATTACAGTATATTATTATAATTGTTCTATTTTATTATTAGTTATTGTTGGTAATATCTTACTGTACCTAATTTATAAATTAAACTTTATCATAGGTATGTATGTATAGGGAGAAACATGGTATAGTATACATAGGGTTTAGACTATCTGTGGTTTCAGGTATCTACTGGGGGTCTTGGACAGTATCCCTGTGGATAAGGGGGGACTACTGTATTCACTGTGCACTTTAGCTCAGTTTCCTCATCTGTGAAATAATGACATTAATACCAACCTGAGAGGATTATTTCAGAATTAAAGGAGAAAAAGAATTTTACATTATGGACCTATCCAGAACATTGTAAAAATGGTAATTTTAAAATTTTCCTAGTGCTTCCATAACAAATGACCACAGACTGGATGGTTTAAAACAACATAAATTTAGTGCCTCACAGTTTAGGGAATCAGAAGTCAGAAATAGTGGTGTTGGCAGCTTCTAGAGGCTTTGAGGGAGAATCTGTTCCATGCCTACCTCCCAGCTTTCGGTGGTTGCTTGCCATTCCTTGGCTTGTAGCTGCATCACTTCAATTTCTGCCTCTGTCATAACATGGCCTTTTGTGTGTGTCTCTGTGTCTTCTCTTTATAAGGACACCAGCTTTTGGATTTAGGGCTCATCTTAATCCAGTGTGACTCCTCTTAATTAATTACATCTGAAAAGACTTTCAAAGTAAGGTACATTCTGAGGTTCTGGGTGGACACTCAATTCTCAGATTACATCATGAATGAAACACTGATACAGAGAGGAAAATAAACTCTTGTAAACTATTGGGCACTTGTAAGAGAGAATGTCATGGTTAGACTAGATACTTCAAGTGGCTGTCTATCTGCTAAGGTGATGTTTCTCTTCCCCTGGCTCTTCATAAAGGTTGGGAGAAAAGAGGAGAGCAGGGAGACCAGAGAAAAGCAGCAGCTTTATTTACAGAATGACAGAAACAGATTTCATGGTTGTTCGGTGGCTCCAAGATCTCACATTCCCATTTCCAGGTCTTGGCAGCAGTATTTCTTCTTGGGGAGTGACCAGGTTTCACCGCTGCTCCGAGCTATAAGTTGAAGCCACAGAACAAGCTGTTAAGTTCCTGTTCCTAGCACAAGACTGTGTTCATTTAATTTTTGTCCTTTTAAAATCCACAGGAGGAAGGGCTCTACACCTAATTCACTTACCTGCTACTGGTAATGTGGCAGAGAATTCTTCACCTGAGACTTCAGTGCACAAGTTTTCTGTGCAATTGTCAGCATTATTGTCACCTGTGATCCCAGGATATCCCCTGATAATCAACTCCAGTCCCCTCACTGATGCCTTCAGGGTGAACTGGCTATCAGGCACTGACTTTGAGGTAAGTACCCCATCTTACTCCCAGTGGGAGGTGTCTGCAAAGAGGGGTCCTGAAGATGAGAGGCCTATGGGATTCCTTATTAGTGATCCTCCTCTTTCCCTAGTTTAATCTCCTCTCTTGTAAGATCCAGGGTTCCTTTTTAGGGCATGCTAGAGCCTTCTGTGCTAGGGCCCTCTAGCCTTTGAACATTTTTTCTCCATTTAATCCAGTACAACAGAACATTATGCTCAACTTGCTACAAATAAAAGGCTTGTTTCTTATTGCCTACCATACTGACATGATATAAGGGATAAGGTGTGCTGACAGTAACTAAATTCTTTGAGTAGAGAGTTTGAGTATTGATCTCCTTAAAAGCTGAGCCTTAATGAATTTGTGTCTGGTGATTCTGCTTTTCTATGATTCTGTGATTTTTCAGAAGAAAATCTATGAGGAGATTTAATATGGCAGAACATGCCCTTAGTAAAAATATAAGCCTAAATGTCCAGCCCTACTATGTGAATGTTTCCTCTTGGATAATTCAGACCCAGTGAGTTATATCAAAGAGCCATGGTACTTATGGTCTGTTTTCTAGTTTGTCTTTTGAATCTTTCCAAAGTCCTCACCTTTCCTATGGTAGGACAAATCTGTTCATTGCATGTTTTCCACTGGTAACCTCGGAGGCCTTCAAGTGTCTAGACCTACTTACACTTTGGTATTCCCCCTGCCCTTTTCTTGGTTGGCATAGGAACCTCTTACAGTTATTATCAGCTCTGCCCCTAGTCCCACCTGCCATTGTCCTGGGGTTCTGGTGGGATCCAGTGGGCTCAACCTGCTTGGTCTAGGCATGGTTGCCTTCTGAGGTACATGCTAGGTGTTCTTAGACCCAACTGATCATTAGAGTCATTGTGGAACCCATGACTTAAGGGCCAAACCATGGGCATCTGGTATTCTCAGCATTCCAAGGGTGGGCTCCCAGGTATGTAAGGAGCACGTATTAAGACAGTTGTCTCATCAGCATCCAGTGTACATTCCCAGTACCCAGATGCTGGTTCTGTGGCTTAACTTGCCCCATCTACTTTTTTCCTTGACATCTGACTCTTCTTTAACAGTTGTTGCTCATCTGTTCCCATAAGCCTTACCAATTTTTTTGCACTTAGATAGAGAACACGTAGTATATGCCAGGCACTCTTGAAAAAAAATTTAAATGTGTTTACTTTTGATTTTTATTTGCATTATTGCCGAATGAAGCAAAATTTAACTTACAGGTTAAATAACTTGTCCTGGGTTGTACAAGCTATTAAGGTAACTGAGCTGAAATTGGAATCCAGGCAGTATGACTTCAGAGCTCTCATCATTTTTTTCACTGGCTTTATTGAGATATAATTCACATAGTATACAATTTATCCATTTAAAAATAGACAATTCAGGAGTTTTTACTATATTCATATATTATCATCAAAATCTAATTTTAGAACATTTATATCACTCCAAAATAAAACCCTGAATCCAGTAGCAGTCACTGTTCTACCCCTATCTTCCTCAGTTTCTGACAATCACTAATCTATTTTCTGCATTAATGGATTTGTCTATTCTGGGCACTCATATAAATGGAATTGTATTGTATGTGGTCTATAATGACTGATTTTTCCTCCATGAACATAACATTTCAAGGGTTACCCATTTTGTAAGATGGATCAGTAATTAATTTCTTTTGATGGCTGAATAACATTCCACCATATGGATATACCACTGTATGTGTTGTTTCCACTTGAGAGCTCTCATTCTCAAACTCTATAGTCTACTGCCTTTAATGATGATGGCAACTATGATACTTTACATTTGCAGAAATTCCAAAGCACATTCACATCCTGATCTCTTGAATGTTACTATTAACACTGATATTACTATTTTATTTTATTTAACATTTCTATTGTAGAAATAAGATAATAGACAGCAAGTTTAATTAATTTGTCTAAGATCACATAACAATAAAGAATGAAATAGAACTTAATTCAGGTCTTCTGACTCCCAAACTTAGGCTCTTTTTTCTACATTGCCATGCACATCTGTTGTTGTTTTTGATGAGCCTTCAATTCCTTCTGTGGGACAGGCCCTTCTTACATGCCATGCAATTCCAACAGGGCTGTTAGTCAAGGAAGAATTCCAGCCTTTTCCTGACCTCTAGAAATGGTGAATTTCTTAGTCCCTCAACTGATCTAGGCTCAAGTATTCTCCATATTTCCCCAGTCCTCATGTCCTTCTGGTACACAGCCCTCAGCTGACCAGGAGCTTGTGTTGATACTAAGATGGGCTACAGGCCTACAAGTCCTAAAACTCTCCTTAAGAATTGGTTGCTTTTGGAGTCTTAGTTCCAGTCAAGATAGTGGGGTAGGTAAATACAATGCTTACCTAATTCATGACCACATCAAATTCACAACTAAAATAGAACAAGCAATCTGAAGAACTATCTGAAGACTAGTTGAATGGAACTCCTATAACTAAGGATATGAAGAAGCCATGTTGAGACCAGTAGGAAGGATCAGGAGGGATATCTCAGCTGCAGAGGTTCTCCTGTTGGACACGGTATCCCAGCTCCACATCAGGCTCATAAGCTCAGGGCTCCAGTGCTGTGGAGAGGAGTCCCCACACCAGCTGGCTGTGAAACTCAGAGGGGATTTATCTGGGTAAGACAGAGGGCTCATTCACCCACAAACACACACCAAGCTCCAGCAAAGGGAGAGCAGTTGCAAAAGGTGCCAGAGACATATGAGGGAGAAACTGAATTGTGTGGCTTTAGAGCAAAAGGTGTCATTATTCCTGTGTTGAGGTGCAAAAGGGTGTCAAATTTGAATCTGCATTAAACTAGTGAACACTGCTCACTCCACCCTGGATGACTCCCTGAAACCAGCCCCACCAGACTTGCACATCACCTTTGGCTCTTGCAGTGGCTGAGCCCTGTGGGCAGCCAGCTTCAGTTTGTACTACATACTTTATTCAAATTTCTCCTAAGTCCATAGGCCCCAGGTGGCAACTGACCTTAGCATGTGCTGTGCCTCTTGCTATGCTGCCCATATCACAACACTGATGGCAGGAGACCTTGGGTTGCAGTGTGGCCTCTCCCACATGCCTCTGGGCCCAGCATAGGTAGCTACCAACTTCAGATGACTCTACAACTCCTATGAGGTGGCCCTGGGTCAGGTAAATCAGGCTGATCCTGGCCTGAAAATGACCCCCTTCCAGGAGGCCCTGAAAATAATACACCCAATGACTGGTTTCAGACCACAACAGCTAGACATATCATAATAAAAATGGCAAACATTAAGGACAAATAAAGAATATTAAAGAAAGCAAGAGAGAGACAGAAAGTTACCTACAAGGGAGCTCCCATTAGACTGACAGCTGATTTTTCAATAGAAACACTGCAGGCCAGAGGGGAGTGGTATGGAGTATACAAAATAATGCAAGGCAAGGTTCTGAATCCAAGACTACTCTATCCAGCAAGGCCATCATTCAAAATTAAAGGAGAAATAAAGAGCTTCAAGGAAAAAAATAGCTAAAGGAATTTACCACCACCAAACCAGCGCTACAAGAAATGCTGATGGGACTGTTGTAAGAAGAAACAAAAAGAGAAAAACACAGGCATAAAAAAAAAGGCAACTAATAACTATCTATCAATAATAACCTTAAAAGTAAATGGCTTGAATGTTCCAATCAAAAGACATAGGGAAACTGATTGGATAAGAAAATATGACCCATATATATGCTGTCTACAAGAGACGCACATCACAACAAAAGACTCATGCAGGATGAAAGTGAAGGGATGGAAAAAAAATTTCCAAGCAAATAGAGAAAAAAAAAAAAAAAAAAAAAGCTGGTGTAGCAATACTCGTATCTGACAACATAGACTTTAAAACAAGGGCCATAATAAGAGGCAAAGAAGGTCACTACATAATATTAAAAGGGTCAATCCAACAAGAGGACATAACCCTGGTAAACATATGCACCAAATACAGGAGCACCAAAATATATTTAAAAACTTCTGGAGGACTTCAAGAGGGAGATCAATAGCAATACAATCATAGTGGGTGACTTTAACACCCCACTGACACCACTGGATAGATCTTCTAGACAACAAATTAACAAGGACATATAGTCCTCAAATAATGAACTACATCAGTTGGACTTAATTGATATTTACAGAACATTTCACCCCAAAGCTGCAGAATACATTCTCCTCAAGGGCAAATGGGACATTCTTAAAGATAGACCACGTGTTAGGACACAAAGTAAGTCTCTAAAATTCAAGAAGATTAAAATCATATCAAGCATCTTCTCAAATCACAATGGCACAAAACTAAAACTCAATTACAACAAAAACACACAAACACATTCAAATACTCGGAGGCTAAATAGTATGTTATTAAACGGGGGAGTTTTAACAAACATTCAAAAAAGAACTAACACCCATTCTCTTCAAACTATTTCAAAAAATTCAAGAAGAAGGAAGACTTCCAAACTCATTTTATGATGCCAGCATAATTCCAATTCCAAAACTAGAAAAATACATTACATAGAAAGAAAACTACAGGCCACTATCCCTGATGAACATAGAGGCCAAAATCCTAAACAAAATACTAGCAAATCGGATCCAGCAACAAATAAAAAAAATTATTCACCATGACAAATTAGGATTCATCCCAGGGATGCAAGGCTGGTACAATATTTGCAAATCAATAAATGTGATACACCACATAAACAAAATGAAGAATAAAAACCACATGATCATATCAATAAATGCCAAAAAAGCCTTTGACAAAATCCAGCATTCATTCCTGATAAAAACGCTCAGCAATGTGGGAATAGAGGGATCATATCTAGACATAATAAAGGCCATATATGAAAGACCTACAGCCAACATCATACTCAATGGGCAAAAACTAAAAGCGTTTCTTGTAAGAACAGGAATAAGAAAAGGATGCCCACTTCCACCACTCTTATTATACATAGTACTGGAAGTCTTA